GAGGCTTGGAGCAGGGATGTGACTGGCTGATGTTCCCCAGGGAGTCAGACAGTGTGGCATCGCAGAGTGAGCCTGGACGTGGGCCACCCTGACCTGGGTGGGAAGCTGGGCTCTGCCACTCACTAGCCATGTGGTTTTGGACAAGTGCTTCAGTTTCCTTATCTGCAAAATGGGGATAACTAAACCTACTTCGTGGGGCTGTGAGGGTGCGTGGAGCACCTAGTGGGCTGAGCATACAGTGACTGCATGTTGTAACTGCTGTTCTGAGTGGGAGGGCTGGGGTCTCAACGCAAAGCCTGTGCCTGACTGATGGCAGTCTGGGGTCAGTCTCAGCTGGGCATTCCCTGGCAAGCTCACCCGGTGACTGTCTACCTGCCTACTCCTCCGTGGCGTGCCAGGGCCAGCCCCCACTCCAGGTTGGCCCCTGTTCTTCGGGACATTTCCCTTGGAAGTGACCCTGACCTGAACAGGTGGGGGTGGGGCGTGGGGCCTGAGCAGACCCCCTTCCTTCCCTGCTGTGGGGGCCAGGCCCCAAGGCGCATGCCAGACATACTTCCCCCTCAGCCAGCTCAGCCCCAGTGCAGCCCCCACCCAGCTCACACCTGAGAAAGACCTGAGCCTGGGGGCTTAAGAGGCTGTGGGAAAATCCCCACCGAAACCCACCTCTCCCTTCCCACGAAACTCTGTCCCCACCTCCCTGCACTGGAGGCCCCAGCTCCTTCGCCAGCCCCTGGCGTCTGTTTGAATAATAATAATCCCGGGCCTTTGTGCCTCCCTTTGTGTCTGCAGAGCCCCTTCACCTCCCGTTTCTCCAGGCAGGGAGACAGGAATTAGATCCCGGTCTGTCCAGGCCAGAGATGCCCTTGCCATGAGCTGGACCCAACCCTGGTCTGACGGGGTAAGCCCAGTCCAGGGAGAGGAAGGGACAGGCCCAAGGTCACGCAGCCCCCGACTCTCCGACTAGTGACCTTTCCACGATGCCAGCTCTCCAAACAGAAAACCAGGACACAGAGAGGTCCGGAAGCAAATGGCAAGCTCCAGGCGGGCCTTCAGCCCTAAACGGCTTAATTGCTGGTAGGAAAAAAATCAGTAGAGGCTCCACTTCTGGGGCCACTCCAATGGGTCTGGCACCGTGCCCGGCGGCCCTTAGGTATGAATGATCTCGTGGAATCTTCACCACAACCCTAAGAGGCAGATTACTGTTCCCTTCCTACGGGCTCGAGAAGTGAGGTAACTGGGATTCCAGCCCTCATCTACCAGGCTCCAAAGCACTGCTCCTGCACCACTTGGCACCAGTCTGCAAGTCAGGAAACCTGGAGTCATCAGCAGCTTGCTGCGTGACCTTGCACAAACTCAGCTTTCCTATCTGGTAAAGGGGTAGCCTGGATGAATAACAACAGCCACCACTTAGGGGCCAGGCTGTGCTTTACCTTTTACTTATCTCACCCAACCTTCACATCAACCCATCAGTTGGTACTATGATTACACCCCAATTTTACAGCCAAGGCACTGGTCCGAGGTCGCAGAGCTTGGATGCGGGCCCAGCCTTTCTGGCTTCAGAGCCTGTGCTTCTCCAGCTCTCTCTCCCCTGCCTCCTCCACTGGTGCCCTCGTTGGAGCAGCTGCCGCCATCCTAGACGCAGGCGAGCCCTCTCCCCAGGATGGGGACTGCCGGGCAGCCCAGCCCCTGCCCCGCACTGACCTTGGCCTCCTCGTTGACGTTCCACACGAAGGACAGCGCATTATAGGCCACCTCCTCGATGTGTTGCACGGTGTTGAAGTTTTCTTTGCAGTCGGCTGAAACCACAGGAGATCAGAAGGAGAGTCAGGAGGGAAGGGATTTGGGCACACCGAGGGAGGAGGCCTTCAGGAGCTGGGCCTCATTCTTGGCAGGGCCTTGCATCCTCTCACCTAAGAACCACGCTTCAGTCCAGGGAGGAAACTGGTTATTGTGCCCTGGGTCACAGAAGGGAAAACTGAGGTCCAGCCTGGGAAGCAGATTCGCCCCAACCCCGGAGGGAATCGCTAACTCTGCCAGTGAGGCCAGGGCTCTAATCATCTTAGGGTGGAGGTCATATTTTCACTGGGACTGTGATTTAGGAGATCTCCCAGATAAAGCAGCAGTAGTAGTAATAATAGCAGTAACAGCAGTAGTAACAGCAGTAGTACCAGTACTACTACGATTGCACTACTAATATTGAATAAACGGTAGCACTACTCCACTTATTGAACACTTACAATATGGCATGCCCTCAGTTAATCCTCACAATGACGCTATTAATATTCAGCTTACACATGAGGAAAATGAAGCTCAGAGAAGTTTGGGTACGTGCCCGGGGTCACACAGCTAATCAAAGGCAGAGCAAGGACTGGGGCTCAGCTTTGTCTGTCTCCTGAACTCAGCCTCCTAACCACTTTGCTCTCTGGCCTCTCAGATAAGTCACTGAATTATCCCCATTCGTGTCACATTCTCCAGTACATGTGGTTCCACAGCGGGAACAGCACAGTAGGCAGGCAAAGCAGCCGGCTTCATTCCATTTGACAGTTGAAAAAAATGAGGCTCAGGAAGGGGAGGTGACACAGGTCACAGAGCCAGGAAGAGAACAATGGAGCCAGATCCTGGAGACCTGAGGACAGGCTGTGCCTCCCACCCATCTCGGGGCCCAGGACAGGGACAAGGTGGCACACACAGAGGGCCTTCCCCCTGCCCCTACCTGCTGACAGACCCTGAGGGTCCCAGCTCTCAGAGCAGGACTGCCCTTGCCCTGGGTTTCAGGCCTTCCACATCACTGCTGCCTGCACTCTTATCTTACTCATTTGTGTCTCAATCGGCCACGCCCACCGATGGAGACAGGCAGGCCAGCATCCCAGGGGTCTACTTATCTGACGCTGCTGGGGTCCCCAGGGCCCTGTTTATCCCAAAGCAACACAGAAAAGAGGCCACTGCTTCCAGCCAACAGATGCAAATCCCTGCCAACTCCACAGTGGATGACCTGGAGGCAGGGGCCAGGCAGGCGGCTGGGGTCAGAACCAAGTCCTGCAGGGGTCAGGGGGGGCTGGGAAAAAGGGGCACAGCAAGCAAAGCCTGACTGGGGTGTGTGTGTGTGTGTGTGTGTGTGTGTGTGTGTGTGTGTGAGTGTGTGAGAGAGAGAGAGAGACAGAGAAGGAGAGAGCACGAGAAAGACAGGGCCAGGAGCAGGGGCGGGCGCTCACCCACGTCGATGACCCGCTGCTTGGCGGTGGGCTGCCGGGAATGCCAGTGCTTCCAGAACCGCAGCTGCTCCACTGGGACCTTCTCGTTGTCGAAGACGACCATCACCACGCTCTGCGAGCACAGCTTCACTGTGACCCCCGGCCTTGGGACAGGCCCAGGCAGTCCGGGGCCCTTCCCGGAGCCTGGGCCCAGGGGTCCTGACCTTCTGCCTCAGTTTCCCCCACTCCATGGCAATGGGCAGTTATCAGACAGCACCCTCTCCCTGGGGTCCTGCCCATCCCATCCCTTCCCAAGCTGCTCCAAGGCGAACGCACCTTGACTTTGTCAGAGGACAAGGCAAGGCCTTTTCTGCCTGAGGGCGTCCGCAGGGTGACTGGGTAGAACTGGCCTTTGTTGAGGTAGGCCATGGGCGACTCGCCTGACTTGATGTGGATGGCTTTGGGGGAGCCCAGGGTATACTCGAAGTCACTGCGGGAGGAGGGAGAGGACAGTGAGCCTGGGCTTCCGGGCAAGAGGGTCCCAGAGGGCAGTGGGCCGGGAGGCCTGACGCTCTGCTCTGGACTTGCTGTATAACCTGAGTAAATCACTTTTCTTCCCTGGGCCTTGGTTTCCACATTTTCAGTGTTTCTACTTAATGGCTTTGTTGAGCCACAATCCTGCAAAATGAATAATGGAAACCAGAGAGACCCCTGAGAGGTGACAAAGCCACAGGGGAGATTAAGGGCAACAGAACCTCAGCTTCTTGACAGGGTGCTGAGCTCTGAGTTCCCTGTCACAGCCCAGGAAAGGGATGTGGAAATAAATCATTCTCTCTCCTTTCATGTGCCCTCCCTCCCCGCTTTTCATTCATTGATGTCTGCTCTGGGGACAGTGTGAGGCTCTGACTGCAGCCCCCTGCCCACTGCCCAGGTGGCCAAGGGTCCAGAGGGGCTGAGTTACCTCTTGGGGCTGGGATAATCCTCTGGACATGGGGGTTCCGGGGATGTTTTCAGGATATCTGGGAAGAGCAGCGACTGCAGAGAAACACAATCCAGAGAGACTAAATGGCCACATTCAGGCTGCTGGGGCCTCAGCCCAGGGGTGCTGCATACAGCTGTGCAGGTTACACAGTGCACAATCTGGACACCAGTACATGGCAGTCCTGCCTCAGCTCTAGGACTCCTTCTCCCATGGATTCCAAAGCTCTGACCTCCTCACTGTCTTCTCTCCCTCTGCACATGCATGCACATATCCAGGGGTGCTGTGAGGGGGACGGGGGTGGGCCCTCACCTCCTGTGGGTCATCTTTGAAGGTGCTGTCAGGCTGCCAGCGCTGTGTGGGCGGCACCCCATGAATGCTCTCAAACAAGGAGTTGAGGGAGCCATTATCATACACATCGCCAGTGGGCAGCAGGTAGCTGTCCACAGAGCCCGCTTCCAGCTTGCTGGGGCCTGGGGGGAGGGGAGCTGCCTTGCCCAGGGTGGGCGCGGCTCCCTCCAAGCTCAGCAGGTTGTTCTTCTTGAGCACGTCTGGGTACTCGGGGACTCCAGACACATTCTCCGTCAGGAATTTCATGAGGTGCGTGGGGCTCTCAAGCGGGGCGAGGTCCACCTCATATTCCATGCCGTGGCAGAACCTGAGGGGAGAGAGGAGGGCTGAGTGAGTGCGCCTCTTCTCTCTGAGGGGCAAGAGGTCCTCGGCTGGACTGGACGGTGACCCTCACGCTGACACACCGACCCTCTTTAATCCATTGTGGTGTTAGGTCCTCTCAACACGCATGAAGCAAGACACGCTGTCACAGGGGTGAGCAGGGAGCAGAGTGTGGAGGATGGACCCAAGTACAGGCTCAGGGTTGAGGGGAATGTCTGCTTTATTCTTCACAGTACTTGGTAATGTAAAAACTCAAAGTTTATTTATTTCTTATCCCACTGTACTGAGTCACCCATGGGTGTGGGTGGGGGGGTGAGTGTTCGTGAGCACAGTTAATACACGTTGAGAAAAAGGTCTGGAAGGAGGTACCCCAAACTGTTAAGGGCGGCAGGGGAAGAGGATTACAGGAAACTTTTACGTTTTACTTTATACATTTCTATGGAGTTTGAATATTTAATAACAAACAGGTATTACTTTTGTAATCAGAAAAGCTAAAAATATTTTTAAAAATTAGTTTGAGAAAAGTCCCCTGCACCAAAACCCACTGTTTCTAGCAGTGGAGGGGCCCTGAGCCAGCTGCCCAAGCTGTAATGCCTGCCTCAGCAGTTTGGATTTTTCCAGAAGGCAGAGAGGAGCCCACAAGGTTTCCCAGCACAGGCCCTACACGGTGCGGGGAAGAGAAGGTGGAAAGAGAGGGGCAGGGTCCTTCCAGCGCCCATTTGGCCATGAGCACGGCCTGGGTTGCTTTCTACAAGGAAAGGAACATCAGTGCCCCGGGGCGCTGATGCCAAGCAGAGGCCCAAGACTGCCAGGGCACAGACGTCCGGGAACCTGGGTGTCCCCTCCCCCAGCCCAGATCTCCCTCCCCGGAGGCTGCAGGGAGGAGGGTTTTGGAGCTGGGACAGAAAAGCTGCCTTCAGGGCTTGCCCTCCACTATGGCTTTGAAGTTTGTTTTCAGTAAACCCTAGCCCACAGGCCTGCAGGCACCTGGGGTGTGTTGGGGGGGGCGGTATTCAAGCAGGATCTCATTATGACTTTGTGGGCCTGAGGTCTCTTTTGTCTTCACAGGCCCCTTCCTTCATAAAAAATGTATTAAAATACCTTTTACCATTGCATTGGTATAAAGACAAATATAATCCAGGTTGGATTATATTAATTGTTTTCTTCTGATTTTAAAATAAATTAAAATGCTTCTGTGAGACCCTAAGAGTACTGTGGGCCCTGGGCACTGCCCCCCACTCCCCCACCCCCCACCCCGTGCCCAGTGGATAAGAGCCCCAGGTGGAGGTGGGGGTGGGGGTGGGGGTAGGGGTAGGAGTGGGGGTGGGGTAGAGGCGGGGAGGGGCAGAAGGGCAGGGTGGTGGCGTGGGCGAGCCTCACCTCTTTCCTTGGTCATTCCGGCCCCCAGTGCTGGAGGACAGTATCCGCTTCTCCTTGGGGCCCTGCGAGAAGAGGAAAGATTTATGCCTGGCTCTTGGGTAAGATCCGGCTGTGGGAGCCTCAGCCCCCCTCTGTGGACTTGGCCAGGCAGGGGAGCTACCCTGCTCACCGGGAGAAAACCCGCCAGTCCTTCCAGTTGGCAGGAGCTCTAGCCATCATTTAGTCTGAGCCCCAAGTTAGAGAGTGGGAAGAGGTACCCCAAGATTAGCATTAGGAATTGTGGAATTTGGAGTCAGGGAGGCCTGGCTTAAGTTCTAGCTTTACCACTTAAAAGTGCTGTGTGACTCTGGGTAAATGATTGCACCTTTCTGAGTTTCAGTTTCTTCATATATCAAGTAGGGGATTATAACAGCTACTGCAAGGGGATTGTGAAGTTTTATAAATAACAATAATGCTCGCTGTTTTTTCAGAGTACCTCCTCTGCACTAGGCCCTGCACTGAGTGCCTTCTATGTGTTCTCTCATTTAACCCTACAACCACTCTGTGATAGGTACTAACACTATCCCCATTAAATGGATGAGGAAACTGAGGCCCAGAGAGGCACTGTTGTCTTAGTGGTTAGGAGCACAGACTCTGAATCCAGATTTCTTAGGTTCAATTCCTAAATCTGCCACATACTGGCTGTGTGACCTTGGGCAAGTGCCTTAACCTCTCTGTACCTCAATGTCCTCATCTGTACAACAGGGATAATACTAGTAATATCAACTCCAGCTGTTGTTGTGAGTGCTTAGACCAGCACCCAGCACATGGAGAGCACTATATAAATGCTACCTCTCACGATTATAATTATAATATTGTTGTATCTTGGAGCATCCAGGTCATTTCTCCCTAAGGCTAATAAAGCCAGAACCAGGATTCCGACCCAGCCTAGTGACTCCAGCACCTGGGCTCTTAATCACACCCCACGGGACAGCATGAAGGAAGGTGCCTGGCATAGTGCCTGGCATTTGGTAACAAACAGTAAGTGGTCACCTTCAGGACTATATTGCCCAAAGCCACACTGCCAGTTTGCGGCAGGCCTAGGTCTCAAACTCCCAACTTGGCGCTCTTTCCACACCACGAGACCATGTCCTTAGTATCCACAAGGCTGTTCTGAATCCAGAGTGTTCCGGGATGGGGAGGGGAGGTAGGCGCATCTCACCAGGACACCGTATTTCACTAAAACCACTAGAGGTGTCACCTTCAGAGCCTGTCCCTACCATTTGGGCCCTAGGAATAGCCTCTTGCCCAGGGGTGATGGTGCTGGATTTTATTTTATGGTCCATCCTCAAGCTGTAAATTCTAGGCTGGAGTTTAAACCCAGACCTAGGATTCTGGCTCTCACCACGTCCACAAGCTGAGGCAGTCAATTCAAATTTCTTTTCCATTGACGTGGGCCCAACACTATCAGGATGCTACCAGCCTGCTGGGAAGGACGTAAGGTATGGTAACCACACCACTCGAGAATGAGAACCAAAGCTAGAGAGAGAATTTGGGGTTTTCTTGCATCGGGGACCACTTCTCACCCTTGGCCTCTGAATTTACACAGAGAGTTTGCCTTCCACCTTGGGGTAAGGTAGATAAAATACTTCTTGGGCCAGTAAATTTGAGGGCTTATTTACAAGGTGGCTTTAAATCTTCAAGTTCAGAGTCAGTTATTTCAACAATGGCTATTCATGTCTCCCCTTCTCAAATCTGGGAAAGTCTCTTGGAACAATCACCCAACCATGGAGAGCAAGAAAGTTTGCTGTCATGAGACAATTCAGACAGATGAGTAGGGACTGCCTGGAATGCTGGGTTGAAAAAGATTCTGCGGCTCCTGCCCCTCAGCGAGAATGCAGGCTGTAATCCATTGGCAATGTCTGTGTGGGCACTGGGGGGGTGGCAATGTCACTCGTGGTACGTATTACTGATGGCTGACTGGTTCAAGCCCACTTGTCAGGTAGGGGAGGGCCTAATTCCTGTTCTGAGGAGCTGACAGTCTCCCAGAGCCAAGGCCAAGGCCCTGGAAAGCATTAGAGAACAGTAAAAGACTGCCTGTCAGGAGGTGTGCAATGCGTAGAAGGGCAGCAAGGGCAGGAAGGAGAGTAAGACACCTAGGAGAGGGAGAGGTGATGGCTCCCAAGAGAAGCGGGCCTTGGGAAGGGCCCTGAAGGACTAGAATGGGTTCAAGAGCAGAAGGCATGTTCTAGGTGACGAGGTTGGGTTGGGTGGGTGGGGATGACAGGGCAACTGGGATGACGTAAGGGACAGGGCCAGAAAGAAGAGGCAGGTTGGGGGTGTTGCTTTAACGAGTGTGCGTGGCCAAGGCATTGATCTGTTCGATCAATATGTACTGAGTGCTGTGTGGCAGGCAGTATGGGGTGCTGTGGACTCAGTAATGATCACGACATGGTTCCTGCCCTCCAGGAGCTCAGTCTCATGGGCGGGACGGAGAAACAAATGCACAAATAGCAAGTGTCTAAAGACAGAGTCAAGGATATTGATGGTGGCTGCTGAGGGGGCCTAGAATAGGCACAGAATGGGGGACCCAAGAAAGCCTTCCCCCCTCAATGGATGAATGAGGTGACATTGAAGCTGAGACCCAAAACTAGGGTAGCATTTACCCAGGGGAAAAGGGAGGGTGCCAGGCAGAGGGAACAGCATGTGCAAAGGCCCAGAGGTGAGAAAGAACACGTTGAGGGGCTTGGGGTGGTCATGGCGAGCTGCCGAGCCATGAGGCCTGAAAGTGAAGATGTACATTCAGTCAGGGGGGGCATGCCAGGGCTGGCGAACATACCATGTAGTAATCGTAGAGGAAGCTCAGGGCTGCAACACTGTCATCGTCCCCATTGACTCTCATCATGGCCTTCGTGGCAGCTGTCAAGGGGTTTTCCAGGTAGGTCTTCCAGGCCTCATCCTCATTGGTGTAGGGGAACTTCTGGAAGTTGACTGGGTCGTTCTTTAGCAGCCGCACAGACCTGAAACTGGAAGGCAAATAAGGAAGGTCAGATTTAGGCTGTCCCAGAGGAAGGTCCATGAATAGTCAGCATCAGGCCAATGCCCAGGAATTCAGAGAGTTACCAGCCTTGAAAACTTGAACCGCTTCTTCTGCCACCATGAGGCAGCTTGGGGCAATGGAACGTACCCAAATTCTGGAGCTAGGTGCTTTGGATCAATAAATACCAAACGTTGCCATGTAGAAGCTGTAGACCTGGGGCCTCAGTTCCCTCACCTACAACGTGGGGACATAATCCCAACCTTGCAAGGCCTCCGAGAGGATTCAATACAATGCTTCCATGGTAGATACTCATTCAAGGGGAACTAGTGTAACAAGGATGGGAAATAGTAATGACAAGCTGCAAAGACTAAAATTTCCAGATAACCTAGCATGAGTTCTTCCGACGAAATTTTCCTCTAGACCGTGAAAGACACAGAAAGCTGGAGATGAGTCAAGTTAGAGAGAGAGAGCATGGCGAGGGACAGGGAGAACCAGGGCGAGGAAGCCCGTAGGCCAAACCCAGTCTTGGGAAACGGCATAAACAAATAATATTTATTGTGGAGTGCCCCAGCAGCTGCTCAGATGCCAGGGATTGGAGTGGAATGCTGCAGGGCACATGGAGGCAGGCAGAACCCGCACTCAGAACTTGGACAAATACAAGGCATGTGGCCCAAGAGACAAGCCACATGGGCTCAAAGGAAGGAGATCATGAAAGGGTCTCTGGAGGAGGCAGATATTTTAGTTGGGGACACTCAGCACTGGGGATCAGAGC